GGGGTTTGACTTGACCTCGTTTACGTTAGTTGGGATCAGCGTTGCAGGCTCTGGGCTTCATTTAGGCGTTTTGCGTTTACTGTGCAGAGGTTTTTGCGTTGACTGCTCGACTTTTCTTATTAAAACACCCTGAAACTCGGCGGCGAGGACATTCCGTGACAGGTGCAGTTTTCTCTGCCGCCTCCAAAAGCTTTTCTGTTCATGCTCCGCTGGAGCAAGTGAGTGCCATTTTGTGAAATGTGTAACGTTATGCTCATAGGATTCATATCCCAGAATGCCATTTTACCATTTTACCGTTTTGCCAGACTGAAAAAAACCAAAAAAAATAAAAAAAAACCAGACTGCATGATGCTGTGTGTGTGTTTTGTGAAGGAACCTGTGGAATAAAGTTTCTGTGTGCTCCCTGTCCTGTAGCCCAGTGAGCCTGGAGGGGGTTAGATGGGATGGATAGCAAAGGTAGCTCCCTGCCTTCGATGCCTGAACCAGCCAACCCTATCAGCATGAAGCAGCCGCCGGAGTCCCTCAGCGTCCGGAAAGGTGGGGGGGACATGAGCAGTGACCCCGCTCTGCTCATAGACAAAGCTGCTGCCCAGCTGGCCGCCACACTACAAGACGGCGTCCTTCAGAAGATGGCTGGCCACAGTCACAACAACAACAACCACAGCCACGAGAGGCTCAAAGACCTCACCTCCCTCGTGCTGAACGGGGACCAGGACACGCTGCCGAAGCTCTGCGCTCCCGAGCCGAAGGGCGCCGAAGTCCCCGCTACGAACGGGACGCGTCAGCACAACTGCACTCCGCACGCCGAGCCCGAACTGAAGGTGACGATACCCCAGGTGGTCAAGCAGCCGCTGTTCGAGTCGTGCTGTGCCAACGGGACCAGTTTGGCCACCGAAGACACCGTATCTGGTTCTGAGAAGAGACAGGACGCGAAGAAAAGGAGGGGGAGACCTCACAAACCAAAACCTCAACCCAACATCAGTTCCTCTCCCGTCCCCGTGGAGCCGCTTGACCACGAAAAGGCTGTAGATGGAACTGAAACACTCGATCAGGTTTTGCTTTTAGTTCTACTTCTTAAGGAAAAACTGATTTTTGCCGGTGGCCGATACAGATACTTCAATATGTCTGACTTTTACTGGTTCAAAGACAAACATTAGCACAATAATGTACTACAGTTATGCTGCCGGATGGTGTGAAGACAAAAGGGCCATTCGTATAACTTAAATACACAGCAGCATTGCCACAAATGCACTGAATGTGTATAATTTAGTGTAAAATACTGGTAGAGATTCAAAGTGTGTGAGAAAAGTCATTAAAACCCCTAATTAGTTTCTATTTTCATCTATTGATTAACTGATTTCTCTTCCTCTTCTTCTCCAGCCTGATCTCGGCCCAGAGTTGACGGAGGAGGCTAAAGACGATCCCCCTCTGCTGATGTGTTTTTCTGTCGGTGATTTGGTTTGGACCAAGGTGTCAGGATACCCCTGGTGGCCTTGCATGGTGACCACGGACCCAGAACTGAACAATCACTTCAAACAGAAAGGTGAGGCGCAGTCACCGCCACCTACATTCATTTTACAACCAAAGAATCACCATTATATGTTCTTGTATATGAGACAGACTTATCATTATTTAATTATGTTTTTATAGCTGCCAACAGCAGGTCGGGCCTCCTTTACCACGTGCAGTATTTTGGGGACGCCCCAGAGAGAGGCTACATCTTTGAGAAGAACATGGTGTCCTTCACTGGGGAGGATCAATACCAGGAGCTGAGCCAGGGCAGCAAACAGCCAGCCTCGCGTGTCATCCATAAAAAGGTGAAACAGCTGCTCCTCCTGTGTGACGCCCCTGCAGGTTGGCCTGTGGAGGAGGATGTTCTCAGCAATCAGAAACCTTGCACATCCTTATGTTTTATACGCGGCTCCCTCTCGTCAGTATGTTTCTAGAAAAGTTGTGTAATCCAAATGAAAATTCAGGCACTTAAATACCAGACTATATTTTGCTTGTTGACAAATTAGTCATCTTGGATGATTTTCAGCTTTTTTCCCCTCTGAACTTAAAGCCAGAGCTCTCTCACTTTTTCAACACCAACTAAGAAGAAAGGAATAATGCTTAAAGCACATACATTTATGCATCTTCTCCTACACAGGTTTTAGGTATTGTCTTATGTGTAAAAAGTGCTAGTTCGTTAAATGGCATCTTCTTGGTAGCAGTGTGTGTTCCCTAGTTCTCCACGATGATTAAACGTCACTTCTGTGTTGTGTCTCTTTGTTACTTGTCGTATAATTTACCTACTTTCTCCCCGTGTCATGCGAAAGGCTCCCACTGTGCCCCGTAAGCTTGAGGCTCAGTGGAACATGGGCGTCAGTCAAGCCGAGGAGGCCCTCAGCATGTCACTGGATGAGCGCATGGCGTACTTCGCATTCCTGTATGATGATGATGGGCCTCATCTGAACCCGCACATCGTGGAGAAGTTGAAGCCAGAAGAGAGCAACGAGATGGACGAGGAAACGGAGTCTAGGCTCAGCCCAGATCTCCCCTCGCTGCTGATGGGCCCCGCCGACGACCCCACAACCGCCCCTCAGTCCCCAGACAGCACTTCCCCGGGGAAAAAGACACAAGCACCCAGAACGAAACTCAAAACGGGAGGATGGCAGAAAAGGGGCAAAGGCCATCTAAATGATTTCCTGTTGAAAGAGAGTTTGAACGACACTGTTTCGTCCAAAGAAATGCTTCTGCCGCAGTCGGCCTCGCAGGTTAGGATAACTTACTAATATCCATCAACAGTGGTGTGTGTGTGTGTGTGTGTGTGTGTGTTGCCCTTAGTCATATTAACCCACAACTTACTGTATATTTAAACATTTGAAACAACTGAAGCTTACAAAATGAAGGTGTGAACACACTAAGAGCATTTTGGAATTGAAAGAGTTGTAGAAATCTAACCTGGCTGCTTTAAAAAAAGGTTTTTACTTTCTTCGTTTAATACGTTTGGTTTGTTTTCTTTCATAGGATCCCACCACTTCTGTACCAGATACACAAGCTGAATCAGTCATACCTCAGAAAAAAAAGAGGAGACCCAAACAGGCTCAGTCTCCCACGAAAACAGTGAGGAGAAGGAAGAAAGCTGCAAGGGACAACACTTCTGATCCTGCGACGATAAGGAAATCAAAGCTGCTGGTTTCTTCGACAGACAATATTTCCGAACCAGTTTCAGTTCCAGGTTGGTTGAAAGTTGAAACCCGGGCAGCCGTTAGTCAATAGTTGGTTCAATGTGGTATGTGTTTTCCAGGGCGGTGGAATCTCCGGCTTTAACTCGCCATATGTGTCTAGTAAAACAGTGGTTGGTTTATTGTGGAATTTATCACTTAATGTGCCCATTTAATAATTTCCCCTCCTGACTGTAGAGACATTTTTTGTTGTATCAGTAAGATTATGTTTGATAAGCTGACAAACGCAGAACACCCAACTCCCATTTGTACAGATAATCACTTAGAAAACACAATTTTAATGGCCATTAGTTGCTTATTTCTTTACTATTCATGAAGCTATTTGTTCTTTAAAGGTCCAGTGTGTAGGATTTAGTGGCATCTAGCGGTCACTTCACCCTCCCCAACCAAGTGTAAAAGAGAAGCTGCGGTGGCCAAGTAATGTGTGAAAAACACCCGTTATCATGACCTGCAGCAGCTGTAATTCTTTCTGTCAGTTGATTGTAAGCTAATGAAAATACACCAATGAATGTTATCTTCCATTTCTGCCAATAAAGCCTCTAAAATGTTTTTATGCCATTTATTTTGGCCTTTTGTATTTTCTTTAGTCCAGTTAGGCGCTTGGCACATGTTGGGAGAAAGCTTTAAAATGACTCATCAGGCTTCTCTAAAAACTGCCTGAAAACATCAACATTTCCTGTTCTAATCACTAACGGCAGATAAACAAATCTAAGTCAGTTTAACCTTTTTTTAAAAACATTTTCCTTCTGTTTGTAGTCAAGAGGGAGCGGAAGAAGACCTCTAAAAGGCCGCTAACAGACACTTTGGCCGACAAGGATCAGCAGCCTAAAAAAAGACGTAGAACAAGCAAAAATGCTGAAAATCAGGTGAGCTTTAAATTATTTACTGTCGTACTTAAGCAATGTTTAAGATGAGGCAGTAAGCATTTTTTTTAAAATATTGAACATCAGACACATTTGGTTCTTTAAATGCATCCTAAGCACTTCGTAAAACCATTTCTCCTGTTTGTCACTTCTGCAAATGTTCTCAGGCCTCACCTTCAGAAGGAACAGACAAAAAGCAGAGACGGAGACGAAAGAAAACTGACAAAGACGTAAAAGAAACTAAGAGGCGACTGAAGAAGCCAAACACGGTCCTCACTGGTAAACCATCTTGTTTGTATTGTCGCTCTTCACGGCAGTTCAGCTGTTTTCTTGTGGCTTAAAAGTTGTTAATTGTCATTGTCCTTGTTTCTTTTTGACAGATGATCAAGACGCAGGGAAACCAAAGCGTAGGAGAAAAAGGAAACAGGCTGGAGACAACCAGGCCACACCCTCCAGGGCGAAGAAGAGGCGGTCCTCCCCGTGTCTTGATCCAGAGGTAAGAGGCACAAATCATGAAATCATTAAACCAATATAAAATCAATATTTATATAGCTAGAGAATAAAGTTCATGTTTTCTGCAGGGCTCTGGGAGTGAAGGACGTCCTGATTCTCCGAGTGACAGCTTAGACGGGACAAAGAAAGGCGAACGGAAGAAAGAGTTTGTCTGCCAGGTAGGTCTACCTCTTCAGCATTTTACTGTCCTTTATTTGAGTTAAAAGAACAAACTCTTCATTTAAATGTAGGACATTTCTTGGGGGAAATGCTGCCTCACTTGTTTCTAAATAAAGGGTGAAGTGTTTTCTGGAAACATACAGGCTGGATCACACAAGTGGAATATAGTAATATAAATCCCATGCACTAAAGTGTCTGTATGTGTTTTGATCTGTGTCCTTACAGATGTGTGAGCAGGCCGGTGAGGACCTGGTGCCCTGTGAAGGACAGTGCTGTGGGATGTTTCACCTGCACTGTCTGGGTCTGTCATTCAAACCCGATGAGAAGCTGCTGTGTCAGGAGTGCAGCACAGGTGAGTTCACACTCCGTCCTCTCGCTGCACTACATTCAGTTCTTAACTGTAACGTAACATAAGCCTCTTCATTTTACCTCAACAGTCTAAGTAGGTCGTTATATTCACAGCTAATAATTACTTTTGCTATGAATTCATCTGTTTTTCTTTTTGACAGATGTCTTAAAAATCTGAAAAATGTTTCAGTTTTCTGGCCAAATGTCAGAACCACAAGCTGGATAAGATAAAATTAGATCAAAGTTTGTATTTCAGAGGCTTTTATCAGCTAAGATTTGGTATTTTTCAAATTGCTTGCGACTCATACCTTTTTTGTTATGTGACAAAAGTAACACGACAGCATTGTACAGTACTACGAGTTAACCCCCGATTCCCCCACTTACTGGCGCGGGTGCACAAAGTTAAAGTTTGTAATTATTGCTGTTTAACGTTTCTTCCCTCCAATAACCTCCTCGCTGTTTCTCCTCTCAGGAATTCACTCGTGTTTCAACTGTAAGCAGTCGGAGGGCGAGGTGCGTCGCTGCCACGTTCCACAGTGCGGCAAGTTTTACCATGAGGAGTGTATCCGCCACAACCCCCTCACTGTGTTCGACAACAAGGGCTTCCGCTGTCCGCTCCACACCTGCCTGGGCTGTCACTACGGCTGCCGCACCAAGCCCAAGTCCACCAAGGGTGAGGCTCTGCATTTTCACATTCACGTCGTTTATTTATTGGCAGTTGCACTTTTAATTGTTCGTATCTGACATGCTGAACTTTTCAGTTGAGGGAATTTTTATTGGGGTTTTTGTGAAAAGCTGTGTGGGCAGGACCTTTCTAAGTCAACTGTCTACTTCAATAACTGCAAGAGAAGCACGTCATCCCAATCAGGCAAGAATATTACCAGATTTAGAGAGTTTCAGAGTAGATCTGTATTTAAAGAAAAAAAGACAGGAGAGGGTTTTTTTTGTTTTTTAGTAGTCTTGTTTTTCGGCTATACAAATCTTTTGAACCTCACCTACAAGAATGAAATTTCAAATTAAAAGCTTGTTAAAGGAATATGAACTCCAGCTGCAGCCAGGCCACATTTTAATGATCCTTTCTGCTTTTAGCTGTTGTAGGATGCATATGACATAAAGAGATTACAGCTTTTAATGTAGAGACGATGGCAAAGCACTGATGAAATATTACGAAGCCATCTGTCATCAGTTTGTGACAGATGGGACCAGTTCCCCCCCCCCCCCACGTCCAAAAACAACATGCGTCTAGTTCTTGAGACTGCAGCCACTTGGTACCTTCCCCGGCAGTGATGTAAAATCCGTCTGATCTCTCTGTACTATAGGTAGGTTGATGCGTTGCTTGCGCTGCCCCGTCGCCTACCACGTCGGTGACCTGTGTGTGGCTGCGGGCAGTGAGATGATCACCAACACTGCCATCATCTGCACCAACCACTTCAATGCCAAGAAGGGCTACAGTCACCACAGTCACGTCAACGTCAGCTGGTGCTTCGTCTGCTCCAAAGGTTTGCCACTTCTCCCCTCTTACCAGCAAGGAGGGCAGTTACGAGTAGCCATACATTGGTGATTTACTGTCGCCGTGTAACCACAGTCACTTAAAGTATCTTCAGCTGAGGAAAAACCTGCTTTAATTTGATGTAATGGCTCTACAGAGAGAATTATGTGACGTTTAAAAGGTTGTGGATTTCCCAAATGTTCTTGTAGAGCAACAAAGTGTAGTCTGAAAATGATTAATAACGTCTCGATCTCTATGAAGGGTAATAAGGAAATCATTTTGGCACGGCCTACTGCACTGTACCGGGGTGGGTGCGGAGATGTTAATCACACATACTGGCGCTACTGAAAATCAGAGGAAATGCTGAACTACAGCAGTTCCTGAACCTCAGTTTTCAGTTGAAATAACAGCCAAGTTTTGCAGAGACAGCTGTGATACCATGGGGGAGTTATTGTCTGAGTAAGAACATACTGAAACCCAGAAAGCAAGTCAGTCAAGAAAAAGTTTGATGCTAAATAATTGAACGTTTTAGTATGAAAATTGATGTAAAATCCTGTGGAAATGCCTCTGAGGCTTTCTGTATCCACTCAGCTTCACAACCAAAGCACAAAACAACAACAGTGTGTGGTTGATTAACGAGTGGGTACGTGGCAGTTTTTTTGGCTGCTAGTCAGACTGAACATTTGCGTTTTAATGTGCTTGTTTTTTATCACCCTCGTACGGATGACTCAACTGTAATTAGTGTAAATTGTTCCACACTCGTCTAAAATGCCTCTCAGGTTTCAGTTTATTTCTCTTATGTTGCAGGGGGGCAACTGCTTTGCTGTGAATCTTGTCCAGCAGCTTTTCACCCCGACTGCCTGAACATCGCTATGCCCGATGGGAGCTGGTTCTGCAACGACTGCCGGGCCGGAAAGAAACCTAAATACAGAGACATCATCTGGGTCAAACTGGGAACATACAGGTCAGAGAAACTGCTCTTTGATTCAGTACTGATGCAGTTTGTTTCTGCCTTTTCTAATTTCACTGAGACCTGGACCCTGAATTAATACCTGATGTTGTTCTCCTCAGATGGTGGCCTGCAGAGATCCACCACCCCAGGAACATCCCCACCAACATCCAGCATCTCCGACACGAGATAGGAGAGTTCCCAGTCTTCTTCTTCGGCTCCAAGGACTACTTCTGGACTCACCAGGGCCGAGTGTTTCCATACATGGAGGGAGACCGGGGCAGCAAGCACCAGAGGACCGGCATCGGCAAAGTTTTCAAGAATGGTGAAGCTCTACCTCCTACCAATCCACATTTTATGCAAAAAGTGAAGAACCATCTTAACCAAAGCTGCATCCAAGCTTAACTACTACACATAAACACAGAAAACGATTGACGATCTTAGATTTTGACATGTATAGTTTGGTGTATGTATTGTTAAAAAGGTTAGCAAAATGTTATCAACAAGGTTTGGTGTAGTTTTGTAGTAATCATAGTGGAAGAGAATATCTTATCAACCACTGACGTCTATGTTTTAGGCTTTCTTTTAAGATTGTTTCCACAGATGAAATGAAATGTAATAAGCCTTTTTATTCTTTCTCCTCAGCTCTGTTGGAGGCTGAAGCTCGATTCAAGGAGATAAAAATTAAGCGAGAGGCGAAGGAAGCTCAAGAGAACAGTCGAAAACCACCCCCATATAAATTTATCAAGGTCTGTAATCTTGTGTGCAGCTTTGCTTTTTATCTCTAAATGCATTTTTAAAGATACAAACTCAGTTATTAAAGACTGAATAAATAATTAACTTTGGGTAACTTTACTTTTACCCCTTCCAGAATAGACGTATAGTATAACGTTTAAAGTGTTGTGTCTTTAAAATGTCTTTCAGGTCAACAAACCCTTTGGTAAGGTTCAGGTCTACACAGCAGACATTTCCGAGATCCCCAAGTGCAACTGCAAGCCGACAGACGAGAGGCCGTGTGGGTTCGAGTCCGAGTGTCTGAACCGCATGCTTCAGTACGAGTGCCACCCTCAGGTGTGTCCCAACGGGGAGCGTTGCTGTAACCAGGACTTCACCAAACGTCTCTACCCAGAGACCAAGATCATCAAGACGCCCGGCAAGGGCTGGGGTCTGGTCTCTCTGCGGGACATCAAGAAGGTGAAGAGGCAGATTCTCCTGCTATAAAACAGTTTTTATGTGTACATAGTGTCAGGAAACAAAATGCAAGACTCACTCTGTTAACAGTCAGGATCGCTATTCTGTTTTTGGATATGAATTCTATAAAGTTGAAGACTTAATTATGTTTAGGCTGTCATCAGGATAGGAAAAACTTTATGGATGAGCACAAACAGATTTTGAAAATATCAGTAATATAATCTGTTTTAGTCACAAAGTTAAGTCACTGCAGACGTGTTGTGTGTTGGTGTGGGTGTGTGTGGTGTGTGTGTGTGTGTGTTAACTGATGGAAATGACAAGAAATGCTTGATAAAAAAATAATTTATGGGAAACTTACCAAAAATAATAATTAATGTTAGGAGTTGTGTAAAGAAAATGACAATCTGTTTATTTATATTTTGTTATCTCATTTCCAAATGTCTCCAATATCAATACAGGTGTTTGCCTCAAACATCTGGTGGTTATACTTAATGTGCTGTGTAGTTTGAAACATTTCTGCTGTTTTAACGTTCAGATTGCCTTTTTGGCAGCTGGAGGGTAATAATTATAGAACGGCTTAAATACAGTGCTTGTTAAAGTATGGGCACCGTTTTCACTTCACATTCCAGAGTCTCCTTCTCTTGATCGCGTGAATAAAGCTGCTTAAAATCCCTTCTAATGTTGGCAATCATAAAAACGTCCACGGGGTGTGTATAGTTTTCTTAAAGCCACTTTAGCCAATACTTATCTGTGAAAGAAGAAATACCTGTATGGTCAGAAATCCTACGGGTCTGCTCGGGACATTTCTATCCTCAACAGCCGGTCTCTAGTCTGATGTAACGTTTCTCCAACAGGGTGAGTTTGTGAACGAGTACATCGGCGAGCTGATCGACGAGGAGGAGTGCCGGGCGAGGATCAAGTACGCCCAGGAAAACAACATCACTGATTTCTACATGCTCACCATCGACAAGGTCGGTGCCAAACCAGAAGCTGGAAGCACTTTTCTTTGCTCCGCAGTGTGTCGGGGTGCTGTGTTCCTCGGCTGCACTGCCATTTCAACTGGGAGCGAGACAGACGGTGTATGGTAGCGCATTGGGAATGTTGCATCAGCGGCAGATGTAACATTACAGTCGTCATTACCACAGAAGCAACCTCCGCTACAGGCCAGCCTGCTGAATCAGATAAATACTAATAAAATAGATAAAGTAATTATAAAAAGGGACAAAATGCTAATTATGGAGTAGCAGTTTAGTGGCTGTGCTACAGAATTATAATGTGTAATGTTTAATATATAAGTTATATATTAAGAAATGAGGACAGGAATGTCATTTACAAACTATTAAAAGGGTGCAACTTATCACTTACTGAGAATTTCTTTGGCCCTTTAAGGACCGGATCATTGACGCTGGTCCGAAGGGGAACTACTCTCGCTTCATGAACCACAGCTGTCAGCCCAACTGTGAGACGCAGAAGTGGACGGTGAACGGCGACACGCGCGTCGGCCTGTTCGCCGTCTGTGACATCCCAATCGGTGAGACAAGTTACAAACGAGAGAGACTGGAGCTTTGTCTGCAGATTCTTTGTCTTCACACCTTTGAAGAATTATTAAGTATGACACTTGAATATTCAAAGCAAACTCCTACCTGCTCATAAAGTACATTGTTTTTCTATTCCAGGTACCGAGTTGACCTTTAATTACAACCTGGATTGCCTCGGAAATGAGAAGACCGTCTGTCGCTGCGGCGCTCCCAACTGCAGTGGTTTCCTTGGTGACCGGCCTAAGGTGAGCTTCACACCGGAGCTGCAGGTTCATGTTCAAACCACGTTGTTGGTATTATATATTTTGTACATGGATCTCTTTATGATATGATTCCAGCAGTTTAAAAAGCTTGACTCGAGAGTTGAAGTAGTTGCGGCAGGTTCAGGGAAAGTAGGTGTATTGAAGTTAATTACAGCCTCGTCACAGATTAAATATTACACATATAATGCTACAGATGCAAAAATGGATTCAGGAGTATGAAGTACTTCTGAAGTGTTTTGAGTTCAATTTTGTGCATTAGAAGATGAACTCTCCACTTGAGTGTGTTTGTATTTAATTCCTCTTGAGATGAAGTGCAGCGTACCAACCACACGGTCAGTTAAATGTATAATAATCCACCCGGCATTGATCAGATGTATCCCAACCCGGTGTCTCCTCTGCAGAACTCCAACGGCCAAACAGCCGAGCCAAAAGGGAAGAGGTTGAAGAGAAAGTATAAAAAGAGGAAATCTGAGGGAAAGAAGAAGTCTGAGGATGATTGTTTCCGCTGCGGCGACGGCGGGCAGCTGGTGCTCTGTGACAAGAAGACCTGCACCAAAGCTTATCATCTGTCCTGCCTGAACCTCACCAAGAGACCCTTCGGTAAGACACACCTGGAATCCAACATACAGAATCACAGACGTGCATGTGACTGGAAGGAGCTCGACATGTTTCTTTATTGTTACTGATTACAAGAAACACACTTCTTTTCCCTCCGCAGGCGTCTGGCTGACAAAACACTCAAACATTCACTAACCTATAAATGAGAAACCAAGAAAGTTGTACATTATTTTCTACATACTATTTAGTTATTGTCAGAACTGATGACTAAGCACGCTCTGGGAACAAGTATGTTCTTCAGGAGGTTTAATTTCTTGTAAAGAAAATATATTAATAACACTCTTGGTATGTCTGAGCAGTATAACATTTAAACTGCTTTGGCTACTTTATTTTTCTACTTTAGCTGTATTTGAAAAGCATAAATATAACTGGTCCTCGCTCCCTGCAGGCCGCTGGGACTGCCCCTGGCACCATTGTGACGTCTGCGGGAAGAACTCGGAGGCCTTCTGCCAGCTCTGCCCCAACTCCTTCTGCAAGGCTCACCAGGAGGGGGCGCTGCGTCCCTGGCCTCCCACAGGACAGCTGTGCTGTCTGGAGCACGACGAGCTGGAAGGAACGGACAACCAGGATCAGGATGTCGGCTCTGAAACGACCGCCACCGCTGCCACCATCGCCGGCCGTCCTTCCAAAGGCTCCCGGAAGGCAGAAGGAGCCGAGGTGAAAACGAAGGGCTCCAAGAGGAAAGCAGCAGAGGCCTAAAAGGAAACTTTGAGCCCTCAGAGAGCCAGAAGACCAAACTAGACTCTGACACCTGCTCCCCCAGTTCACGAACAAATATAAACCCCACGTAATGTCTGCAAGATCACCAGAACCAAGACACTGTACATCTTCGTCATCAGGGAAAGCCGCTGATCTCTCACACGCTCGGCAACAGCCTCCAGCTAACTGCAAACATGGCGTATTTTATTTGTGAACGTTTTCAGGTTTATTTTCTCTCGTCTGCACTGAGGCGAACCGTCTGTGGTAAAGCACAAAGCAGCTGAGCGAGTGCGGGGCAGGAAACTTCAGCTCGTGGATTCTAACTCTCATTCTTCCACCAACCAAACTGCCTTTTTTTGTTTTGTTTTGTTGTCGTCTTTGTTTTGATGATTTGATTTTTAGAATAACAAAAGAAACCAGTTGGTTTCTGCAGGAAAAAAAAACTGAAGTTAAACTGAGCGGCAGCGTCGGCGTCACCGCCCGCTAACTTGAACCTCAGTCACCCCCTTCACGCAACACGGATGATCTTGAACAGCAGAGTTTTATAGCTATATCTATATATGTGTATATCAAAGACCAAAATTATGATTACTGGAATAGTGTAAGACATCAAACAGGTTGCCAAATGGATTGTTTTTATTTTTATATATAGTGTATATATGCCAGATGTACTATGGAAACACCAAGACACTATGGATAGGCCTCAGATGACCTCTTTACTTCTCTTTCGTAGCCATAGGTTACATTTAACTGTAGACATTTGTTTGATATTTTACAACCTGTTATTTTGTTTTAGCTCAGTTTTACTGTTCAAATCTGATTTTTTTTATTTTATTTTACACGTCAGCATGCTGAATGATGGCACACAGACCGTTTATCTACCTGCCTGTCCAGAGAACGAGGGATTACAGGAAGTATTAAAACCCCAGAGCGCTCTTCAACTGCCGTCTGATATAAAAACACTACTGGGAGGTTTAGAGATGTTCAACGCTCTGCTCCTTGTCAGAGAAATGAAGGATTACGTGTGATTTCTCTAAGTTGAGTTGTGAGTCCTAACCCTTCACGGTGCTGTTTGTCTTTCCACTGCAGCGTCTGAAGGCACAAAGAGTTTTCTGTATAAACACACACATCATGCTGATTCAAATTCTGAACGCCTTTCAGTGTCACTGGCCGGACTTTTTTTATTGATGAGAACTTCATTGAATAGTTGGTCTGTAGCTGAGGTTGGAAACGAAAAGGCCTCAGCTGTTTTTTAATCCTCAGGAGGTTTTTAGTCTAAACTGCGTCGTGCTTGTTGTTTAATGCTGTAGAGCAGGCTAACGGCTCACTGTATGACACCTTGTAACTGCAATTTTGGTAAGATTTTACACATTTGTACTTGACGTGAAGCATTACAGGTAGTTAGGAGAGAGTTAAGGAAACTGTGTCAGGCTGTGCTGTTGAACATCAGTGTTATCCGTGAGCTCCGTCTGCTCTCGACTGAAGTTACTGTAATTATCGGTTTTTGACTTTTGACGAAGACGATTTGCATCATCAAACATCTTAAAGTTAAAACTATAACTGAGAAACCCAAAAACAGAAATATATGGACGTCTGAACTCCGCTAAAGTCTTTAAGAAACCGGATTTTAATGGATGTTAGAGTGAAAAGGTTGATTTATTACGTAGTTGGAGGAATTATCAGTCTTTTTTCACCATAATCTGAGATTTAAAGACAAATAAGAGGCAGATTAATCAATAATGAAAGCGAGCGGTGTTTCCCGCCCTCGTACTGATAGTGCTATATTATCAACACACTATATGTTTAATGCTGTTCTGTCTGTAGCCCTCACAGGACCCACTCTGCACTCCCACAGCAATCTTGAAGTTCCTGGTGAGTTTTCTGGTGCTACTTCACGTCCAGTCTAATGAAACTGAGGCTCCTCACTGAAACATATAAAGGCATTGTTTGATAGTTGTTTCATTCTGGTGCAGATTTAAGTATTTACTGTCACGAGCTCCAGCTGCAGCCTGTGGTTTCAGACTTCATTCCCTCATTTTGACGCTTTCACTAACTGAACGACCTGCAGCCCCACACACGATCACGTGGGCGCTCTTTCAGACGCCGACATTTATAGACTCTTTGTGAGCGACAGCCTTTTTGTCTTGAGGCAGCACGTATTTGCACTCGGCGTGGGAGAGGTGCTTGCAGAGGAACGTTCCTCCTTTTTAAATCTTTTGAGTCGGTATTGAAAAGGCTTCGTGTTGATACGGGTGTACAGTCACTACACGCTGTCAGCGCGTCTGAAGTGATGAGCCTGACGTCTGTTAGGCTGGAGCTGGTAGTCACACCGAGCTGAGCCTTACAGAGTCCTGAACCGGTTCACACTCACATGTCCTGACGTCCGTCTGCCTCAGCCGTGATTATCGTACGTCTGTCGAATGGATCTGTCGTATTTATCTCGCATCAAGCAAACGTTTAATGTTTACAGTTCTTCTCATCAGCCTCTCTTTTGGGTCGGTCACGAGGCTACAAACAAAAGTCTTGTGCTTTTTTTTTTTTTTTTTAAATGTCATATTTGACGTGTTGGACAGTTTTCGTCTTTAGAATCTGAATCTCTTCAAACAGGCGGCTTGTTTTGGACTTTTTTTAAAATCTTAAAGCCACTATCTGTGCTTCTTCTTCCTCTCTAAAACTCCCCAAATAACAGAAATAACAGATCTAAGGTGTACAGATGCAACAGGCCAATTTTTTTTGTTTTTTTTTACAACTGCACCTTTTTTATTTTATTTTTTATTTTTTATGTTCTCCTTTTTCCCAGGGCGTGTGAATGGGGCATGTCCAGAGGTGCAGCGAGTCTCGTACAAGTATTTTTGACTTTGTATGTATCCTAACCTTGTGTTGAGTGAATGTAGTCCAGCCAGTTATTTTTGTAAGCACTGTAATTCCCTGTAGAGCTGAAGTGTAACACGTGCGTAGGGGTTTCTCATTCTGTAACTACTGTCATAGTAAACCAGAGACTAATATGTACATAATGTATAAGTGGTAATAGTGATGCATCTATTGTAAATATACAATTTCTCTGACATTGTATGTTTTTTTTTTTGTTTTTTTTTCCTTGATGCAGTGCTGAAACACTTTTGTGCAGGATCTCACGTCTGTTGAATCGTGCAATAAAAAGTGACATCCGCCGTCTGCACACTGCTGGACTTTTATCACACACTACACCCACTTCAATCATCCCAACGGCTTTAAAGCTGCTCAGGTTCAGCCTCGACGCCTCTTAAAGGTCCAGCGTGCAGGATTTAGTGACATCCTCCCTTTTCCAAGCACAGGAGTGACGATACAGGACCGCACTGGTTCACAGACTGTCCTATAATTTACAGTTCGGCTTCGTATCGACACGTTTAACTTTATTCCTCTTTGTTTAATGCAGGTTCATTCATTAGGTGGTCAGCGTTGGTGTGAATTCTCCCGCTGTGTGCTCTCCAGTAAATAACCAGTAACATGACGTTGGCCACATCCCATAAGTAACGGTTAAAGTAAAGCAGAGTTTATAATGAAGAAGTAGAAAGTGTTGCACACGTACAATCAGCGTTGCTGTGTTTGTGTTTATTAACCACAACAACAGAAAACTTTGTTCCACATCTGGTCAGCCTGCTTTGAAGTGCTGCACTGCACAGGGCTACAATACATTCTCCAGGTTTGTGGTGATTTTTAATCAGTTTCCAGGTGTTTCCATCACTGGACAAGTAGACTCTGAATTTCCAGGTTTTCCAGGACATGCAGGAACCCTGACTATGGTGGGAGCTAATGCCTAACTGCAGAAACGTGTCTGTAGATAAAAACGTCTCATTCTAAGATAATAAAAACATGATTCTTATTTTGTGGTGATTATACAGTAATGCAAACATACCTGTGAATATTTTATTTCTGCCACTAGATCCTCCTCAATGTTTCACACTCGACCTTTAAAGGTCTGTTGCAGAGAAGATTTAAATTATAATTTTTGCTTTTATCTTTTCTTTTATAGTAAATTAAATGTCTTGAAGTGATTTGAGCCACTAATACAATTCAATTAAATTTTATTTGTATAGCGCCAGTTCATGACAAGTTCTCTCAGGACACTTTTCAAATAGAGCAGGTCTAGACCGAACTCCTTATAACATTTACAGAGACCCAACAGTACCACAATGAGCAAGCACAAACGCATATGTTTGGAGGCCGCAAACTATGCTTCGAAACTTCTGAAAACGCGGGGACACATTTTGTTGATCGTGGCGAAGAATTCATATTTTTTTAGGGGTCCGGGGTTCACTTATTGAAGCATAGCAAAAATGCCCCTCAGGGCCAAAACTGTAATTTTACTACCGGGGGCCCCTTCACTGATATGATAGAAAAATCGGCCACTGCGTAAGATCTTATCCAGACGAACAAATCCAGTGGCGCCATTCCCCAAAACCAAAAAACAGGGGAAAGTCGGCAATTTTGAATTTAGCCAAGCATTCCTTTGCAATTGCCACACTTTGTATTTGGAAAATTCCTTCCTAGGAATTGATCGGTCGAAAAAAATTTCAGGATTTGGACCACAGCCAATCTTAATACCATTTCCGATTAAAAGTGTTTGTATTCGACATTTCATGGAATGCGTCCCGTGGCGTGGAAGTGTATTTCAAAAAAACAAAACTCGCTTGAAAAGAGGAATTGTTCATTAAACTTCTGCAAACATGATTTTCTGAATCTCAATACTTCCCA